TCGAACACGGCGACGAACCTGGTGGTGGACTGGCGACGAGCGTTTTGCCTGGCGATTCTCGCGGACGCGCCTCGCGTGGTTCGTTACTTCGATCTCTTTCCTCCGCGGCGAATCTTCGTCCCGAGATCCCCGACAGGGACAGAGAAAGAAGAAGGAAAACGGGTAAATGGAAGAGTAAAAATTAAAGAAGGAAAAGGAAGCGCCCTGCGACGATGTGTCAGTCGACTGAGCGAGCAACAGCGGACGCGTAAACGTGTTTTGCAGTTTAGCTTTGTCACGCTTGTTTCGTCGAGTTCGCGGGATAATGGAAGGACGAGCGAAACGGACTTCAACGCGATGGAAAACGGCGTAGAGAGAGGCGTACGCGCGATGAAAGAAGAAATGTAACAGAGTGACGCGAGCATCGCGCGGAATAACGGAGGAGAAGATGAGAAAAATTCATTGGAGATGGAGCAGAAACGAGAGGAGAGGAGTCCGTAGAATTTACTAGCGTTACTAGTCCCGGTGCAAGCAAGCGGGGATCGGATCAACCGGCGTGAAACAGATTTATAAATGATATCGATCCCTTCTGGTGCGTGTAAATACTGCATCGGGGCCCACCCCTGTTAGCACGTAAGCCGTAAAAGCAAGTGAAAAAAAAAATCTGTGTAAAATACGATATTGTGATAAGATGTGTAAAGATACGAGAGAACGAGAGAGAGAAAGAAAGAGAGAGAGAGTGCGAGAGCGAGAGAGAGAGAGAGAGAGAGAGAATGGAAGCCAGAAATCGTCTATATACATATAGGTTAATAACAACACGGCAGACCCCAGTTTATCAATTTTATCGAGTACCCTTGTACGAATATTAGATATTACGAGGACTAAAATACCTTAATTATGATTACTATTGTATAAAATATGAATAATAACTAATTAATTCAATTTAATTCGCTTCGTATTTGTACACGTATTTGTTCCATACCACTCTCATTTACGATTTCACGTTTTTTTTTTTTTTTTTTTTTTTTTTAAATACGCTACGTTTAAAGGATAGAGGTTTAAAGTGATAAATTATCGCTGTCGTAAAATGGCAAACGAACCGAGCGTTTCCGAGGGACTGCAACTGCAGAACGGAGTGTTCCAATGTCCTGACGGTAGGTACGAGTTCCTTTTTCTTTCCCTTTTCTCTTTGTTCACCGGTAGCGGACACCACCTGCCGCTGTAGAAGCGGCGTACGCATGCTCTACTTTTATGGATAACTGTACTCCTCTATCTCGTTTAAAGCGAAGCCACCGACTATTCCGTATCTTCTACACGGTGTCTTCGAAGACTTGGAATATTTCGTATAATCAAGTGCTTTTTGGCAATGATCTAACGGACAGACGGTATATCCCTGACAGAATATCCCCTCCCCCCCCCCGGAATCGTTTCAGATATCGTTCTCTCGTTCAACGATGTTCCAGTTCTCGACTTCTTAAAAGGCCAAGAAAATAACAATGTGAGTCAATGCCACCTTGTTTTTATTAAGACGGAAGGTTCGAGAACAGCTTTCGAAACAGGGAACGGAGACTGGAATTTTTCCCGCTCTGTTCGAATGATTGGCAAGCGAGAGTCTGGTGGACCATCGTCGGCAAAAGGAGCGAATCGATCCTGACCGACGTCTGTTACAATCCCGTTCGGGCTGATCGTAATAATCGTGACGACGGTTAATAAGCCAATTAGCCATCCGACGATTAAATCGTTCGTTTATCTGAATATTGATTTTTCGCGAGACAAAGGCCACTCTCTCCCCGACAAAAGCGGCCATGTTCCGCAGGCACTCAGTCGTTCGCTACGCGCGACTACGCTTGCTCGTCCGTGCGGGACCATCGGCAGAAAAAGGTGTACCGATGCTCCGATGAATGCAGTGTGCGCGCCTCGCCGCGGTTTCCAAACGTAAACTTATACTCAGTGAAAAGGAAGAGCGAGGGACAGAGAGAAGAGACAAGGAGGGAAAGGAGTGAGAAGAAAGCGCGTGGAAATCAAAGAGAAAAAGAGAAAGAGAAAAAGAGAGAGAGAGAGATCATCGTGGCACGACAATGCAGCGGCATAAAGTCTCACAAGACGCACGGGGAAACCTTGCAACCGGGGGGACAAAAACCTATAATGGACACAATGGTCGATGGATCTCGACTGTGGGCCTTCGACTGGAAGGCGCCGGTATTCATTGTGGTGTACCTTCGAAAAGATTATGTCGAGTGGATGTTTGCTTCAGTCACCACTACGCACTCTCTCTCCCTCTCTCTTTCTCTCTCTCTTTCGTTCAGCCTGGCCGTTGAAACTTCGAAATTATCGTCGGGTTCGTTTCCTTTTGGTAAGTTGTCCAGTTCTGGTAAACATTTGTTTCAACAATGTGTCGAGAAACATGTGTACACCCCTCGTTGCGAAGATTGGTT